GTCAAAGATCAACTAAAAGTATAAAGCCTTTTAGGTTCAGGGAGGTGTAGTGATATGTAAATTAGATAATGTATAAAAGGCAGTATCACTATAATTATGAAAGAGTTATCTTCTCTTGACAAGACTACATCTGTCAGAATACCTATCATAATATTATTATTGGTGCTTTTTATCTCAATACGCATTAGTAATTCTTGATAGTCACCAGTTGTGAAGGGTGTATGTATGTAATGCATCCACTGCATGCCTTACATTTTTTATTGGATAAATATTTTTGTGTAAAAAAAATTACTAATTGATAATTTTTTACTATCCTCTTGGAACTCAGAGTAATTTTTTAAAAATCTCTCATTTCTTAAGATAAATTGTGAACCATCAACATTACAGAGTAGTACAAGCAGAGAAGCCCCCCACCCCACTTCTGTATAGTAATATTTATTATTACTTTCAGCATTTGAAATGTACATGACTACAATAGTGAATATGTTCATTATTGAATGGATCAGTTCTTTCTAAAGCCAAGTTGATGTTGGTAGTTGTTGAGTTGAAATAGTGAATATTTGTCACACCATTTTGTTGTGAGTGAGTAGTTTGTGTGTAATACTGAGAGTGCTTATATGATGTGTGTAAATCAGTTAACCTCATCAATTATTGTCACTACTTGGTTGTATTACTACTGTTTAAATCTGATATGCTTTTACATTTATAGAGAAGAAGATGCTCAGGCAGGCATAGAACAGAATCCTGGAAAATGGTATTTTGAGTTAACAGAAACTATTTCTTGTATACTTAAGTCAATTTTTTGTTAGCATGTGAAACTTGTTGTTTCACAGCCATCTGTTTGTAAAAACTACTGTTGAAGGAATGATCCAATTTGCTGAAGAATATTTTAGTAATGAGATATTGGAGGCATGGGAATTTCTTCAAATAATACAGTAAGAATGAATATGCAAACAATTGCATACTATTGCATACAATTAACAACAGATGTTCTTATCATACATATATATATGTGAAATTGCTAAAAAAGTTGGGTAAAAAGAAAGAAAGGAGATGAAACTTTTGCACTATTTTTGCACGTTTCTTACATACCATCTTGGCAATATCATCTAACAGTTGTTAGCAGTAGTTCTTTGGCAGACAAGTGGGGTAATTCCACATTAACTTTCTTATTTGACTTCTTTAAAAAGTTTAGATTGCTGCTACATAGCTTCCAATTTGAATTGAACTCACATGTTGGGAGCCCCTGCTTCATGAATATCATTTTAACCACTTTCACCACAAAAGACTTTATGATTACGCAGTGCACAAATCTTTATCTTCAAGTCTATTCTCCTTTATTTTCTTCAATTATTTTTAAAAACTTATCAGAATAAGATTATTTTATTAATAGCTTTATTTAAAAAAATATAAAACAACAACTATTTTCGCAATCTTGGACCTTCATGCCTGCAAAAAAATGATTTGTCAAAAGGACTTTTTTTCCCTTGACACTGCTATTATTTTAACTACCTTCACTCCTTGGCAATATTTATTGTTTTAAAAAGCAGTGATTAAAACAATAAACGCTGATGAAGAGTGAAGTTATAACAATAACAGTGTCAAAGGAAAAACTGTCCTTTTGACATTCTGCTTTTTTGCAGGCACAAAGATCTGATATTGTCCTACTTTTAATGATCAGAAATAACCATATGTAAAGGAACACAAGAAGAAATAGAACAATGTTTAATTTGTTTTTGCCTCTGGTATTTATTTATGCATGTGTGGGTACACACATTAGTAGGCTTAGTCCAGGTATCTGAATCGATCTGTAACAAGGGAAAATTAATACAGGGCACAATCAACTGTGGTGAATCCTTAATGAAGAAGAGTGGAAAGAACATTGCCAGTTCAACCTTACATAATAATTTTTATAACTAAACACTCAGCTTACTTCTTGCTTGCTGTTGTGAGTTAATTTGATCAAAAAATTATAAATTAAGAGAGATAATTAATCACTACAGAGGAATGTGTAATGAGAATTTGACTAATTTTTTAAATGGTTCAATAAAAAAAATTGATATATTTTTGTAAAAACTTATTTTTAATAAAATGAATAATATTAAATTGCATGAAAAACTAATTAAGAAAATTAGAATGTTACTGTCACATGTATGACAAAAGATATAAGATAAAGAAAAGAAAATTGAATGACAGGAAAACCAACTAGGTTTTATAGTAAACAAAAAAGGTTTTATTTTAATTTTAGTGATTTAGTCAGTGACTAAAAAGGAAAAAAAATAAAAGGCTTACTGGTAAGAAGTTAGAAACACTTTAAAATAACTTCAGCCAGGAGTTGCTGGGTTTTGTGGTATAGTTCACATGTCAGGTCGCAAAGAGTAGTAAACAGACTGCACTGAAGCAGGTTTCAACTCTTTGTCATTGAGCCCACTTCATTTTGGCGCCAACCAACAAATACAAACACTCAGATGAATGACCTCCACTTGTAAGGTCATCTGACCACATCAAATGACCCAGAATTTGGAAAAGTTTCATTCATAAAAATAGATTCTCTTAATAGTTACTAACATGGTTTCTTTGAAAAATAAACCACAAAAATGAAGCCAGATGGTTTATAAGATAAAATGAATCAAAATTTATGTGCAAAACTTTGTAAAATATGGGGCAAATGTCAAAAAATATGAATGCACAAAGCGAATTTGGCAGACGAGTCACAGAAGAGAGAAGAGAGGCAGAAGAGATGGAGACAAGACCAGAGACAAGATAGAGGCTCACATGATTATCTGTGATGAAAGCCTCCGACTTCAGCCTTATGCCAAACTTTACCAAAACAGCCAAATTTTGCCAAGTCAACAATAATATCACTTCCAATTTAGCTGTGGATTGGGCTGATAATTAATTGCATCAAATTCTGATATAACCAATTATTGTATGAAGAGCTGATATAAAAAAAGTATTTACTTTTGTTCAATTTATTTGAGTGTTATTATTTTCTTTTCTGTATGTCTTTGTTCTGCTTGGACCAGCCAGACATGAAGATACCTGTGATGATTCAGTCTTGGCCTCCTTATGATCAAACTTAAATCACAATGTTGGATAGGGCAGATCTGAGATCAAAGTGATCTTCACTGATCAGCCACGGTGTTGGAAGTCTTGGACAACCAGGGAGGGTGCTGTATGATTACAATATATATGACTTCCATTTGTTATAACTAGTGTATCATAGCATGGAAGAACAAATTAAATAACAGTACCGCTGGTGTGGCAAAAGGAAAAGAAGACAAGAATTGTAAATATAAAATTCTTTTGTATTGTCAATACCATGTGCTGGTGTGTCTCTAAATGTAGGTAAGGTAAATGGCTTTATAGGAAGGGTAGAGTTGGTAAGGCCTGGAGTTGATGTGTTTATCAGGTCAGTTGACCGACCAAGTTCATGGTGGTGATGTTGAGAGTATCCTGGAGTGGATTAGTGAAGCCATGAATCTGACTCCAGCATTTATGAGTGACTTTCTTAAAGCAAATGTGGTGGCTCCCAGACTCATCTTTTTTCTATGTTTTTTGTTTGGTGACAACATCCATGATTGGCTTCTTTTATGTTGTGCTTTATATTTTTTTTGAGGGGATTTGTTTTGTGGGCCAGATGTGATGATCAAAACCCCTGTACAAAAGATAACTTTTCTATTTATTGCTTTGCTATCTTAGCATTTAGATCTGGCTGACATGTAGAGTGAATAATAGAGATCTATTTTGAAACTGAGTATAACACAATTAAACTTTTAGGGGAGCTTAAGTTCCAACAGGTGTTAAAAGCAAGGGGCCTCCTTGAAAAAACATCTGTTCATTGTGATAGACGAAAATTCAGGATTTGTTTGGTGATGATGGAATGTTACCAGTTTATTTGTTTTTTTCTAAACATGAGTTTATCTCATGCAAATGCCTTTTCCAAATCTGTGAGAGTTCATCTCATATTTGAGAATGTCTATTCTGAAAACCTGAATACTTTGTCAAAAGGGTCCAGTGAAACGTCTTCCCTGAGATAGGTTGTCTTTTCTTACTCTTTGATCCACAAACTTTTCAATTTATGAACTTTTCAAAGTAAGTAAAGTTCTTTTGTTGTTAAAAAATGATTTACATGAACTGTTGTTCTATAAAAAAAAGTAAGTAAAATTCCTTTGTTGTTAAGGAAAAAATATGTTTTTCATTAACTTTTGTTTTGTAAGAGAAAAAAAATTGTATTTCAAAGAACTGTTAATCTGCTTTGATAGTTTTTTTTTGCACAAGGGAAATTTTATGTAAGACCTTTATTGTATTTTGTACAATTTATATATTGCAAAAATAATTTTTTGTTAATAGTAGTATCTTTACAAATTTCATTTTGAGTCTTGTATTCTTTTGTTTGCACCTCTAAATGTATTTGTAAAAACAAGGATAAGAGACTTGAATTCTCCTTCTCTTATTCTTCCTTTTTATTCTCCTTTTAAATCTGTCAGGTCAGGTAATTTGACTATATAATTAGCATTTTTGTTTTTGTGCATATTAAGTTAATTCAGAATATTTATATATTTAATGTGAAAATCTCTGAATTATGTTTTGATTAAATGGGTCAAAATGTTTTTGAGTCGGGTTCTAGATGTCCAAGCACAAAAAATACTAGTCACAATAACCTGTTTTCGTAGCACACAACATTAACAATGAAAAAAAAATCAATGGTTTAAAAAAACAAACAAATTGATGGTGTCAAAACTATTCAGGCTAGAAAATCTTAAAAAAAGTCTCCAGCTCATCGGTAAAATAGGATATATACACTTACATTATTAACCAAGTGTTATTATTTAATGATATTGGAAGTGTGCCAATAACTAAAAGTAATTTTGCCGTCATATTGTCTGGCCATGTGGGCTATTATAGTCCGAACGGCTTTCCATACAAAAATTGCCCTCAAAAGCAGACGACGCGCCAGGTACATGCGCAGATTTCTGTTGACCATTTATTGATGCAAAATGGCAGATTGCATGGCAGGCGGAACCAACAACGTTCTTCTCGTTACTGATTCCTACAAAGTGAGTATTAGATTATTATCAAATTACGAAGGAAAAATCCTTTAAGTTTGCCTTATTCTGTTAGTTAATCGCTTACTATTTTTTTTCTTTTTGAAGAGTTAGATTTGGCGTTAATTTTTTTTGTTGATGCTGGTCAACAAGTGGTTGCGATGTAAAAATGCTCCTTAGATACGATGATAGTCGCATCATCACAGTTGTTATATAAATTCGCTTTTCAAATTAATCAAAGAAAAATGAAAGGTTTACATTATGATTAAATTCTCATTTTTTCTATTTTTTCTGAAGAAAAAAGTGCTTCCTTATTTTTTAAATAGACATATAGCAAAAGAAAAAAACAAATTAATGAGATTATTTTTTAATTCATAAATAAATAAATATTTTTTTCCCTGAAAAATAGCTGACATTGGAACAATGAAAATATTTACAATTTACATCATTATTACAAACAACTTCTTTTGAAAACGTTAAATGATTTTCCTTTCTTAAAAAAAAAAAAAAAAAAAAAAAAAAGAACTCGACTAAAAGAAAAGCGTATTTAAGCCATTGGAAAGAGAAAATAACAAAAAAATAAAATATGGTCCCATGTAATTGTAAACATTAAATTTACATTTTACAATTAAACTAAAAAAAATAAGTTAATGTTGAAAATTTGTTTTCTTTTTTGAAAAAGTATTCTTTCTGTTGAAAATTACGTTTCTTTTTTTCCCTTTTTCTTTTTACAATAATGCATAACTTGAATTCTATTGTTTATTAAAAAGAAAATATTTCTCAATATCAGAGCTAGACCGTTTGTAGAGATAGTGCAGGGTAAAAATACTACAATACACGGTGAATGGCACTTTCTTTCACACCTTAAAAAGCGATAATCAGACCATGTTAAAGTGTGAAACTGACATTCACCGACATGGTCTGATGATCACTTAGGGCATAAAACCGACATGCTGTGTTGATTTCTATGTCCGCAGTGTTTAAAATAAAAAAAAATAAACAAATTCGGTGAAATCCTACTTTACTCATATGGCAAATAACCCCCTTTTAAATTAAACTTTATTGAATCATACTCACCTGTTTTCAAATTCTTTAATTTACATTTCGACCTTGGTGTAAGTTTAGTAAAGTGAAATCAGTTTTATTTTATTTAATTCCCAAACTAAACACCAAAAGTAGGCGAATTCCCGGCCAGTGTCCACTGCAAAATTGATAGTTATTTTAAAAGCATAATAATAACTACAAATCTTTTAAACATTTTTTTATAATGATTAAGAAGGAAACTATTTTGTATGCATGTTAGTGTTTTTTGTATCTTGTATTCTTTGATTGTGTAACTGCATTGAATTGATTATGAAACTTCTCATGTTTTTGATGAACAATGAACATGGAAAACTGAAAACACTTGGAGAGAAACGAAAAATATATACATTTTGTCATTTGATAACAAAAAAAAAGAAAAGAAAAAGCATATGTTAAAACAGAATAATTATCAAAATTATAATTGAGTCACTACAAATTCATAAGAATATACAAACAGTGTCAAATAGTAGATTTCTGAATTAATATTGGCGATGGATTCGATATCAGATACCAAAGAAAGATTGAGTAAGATAATTTTTTGTCAAATATCAGTCAGACAAAATATAAAAATAAAATAAAAGGAGTTATTTTACCACAATAATTTATCCAAATAATTAAGTTTTTAACAGGTAAAATAACAATAAAAATCGAGAAAGTCACGCTAGGTCTTCTGAACAGGAATAGAGGATTATCTCTTGTTTCCTGTTTAGGATTGGGTTTTTCTGGTTCCTTCTCCTAAAGTCTTCTAATTTTCTTTCTCTCTCAGTAACCTCTTGCATCTTACTGTCATTTTCGCCCTGCTTGGGGTGAAATGATTAAAGAAAAAAAACAAAAACCAAAAAAGCAACAAAAAAGACGATTTTTAATCTTTGAATAATCTTTGAATACATGGAGTGGGAAACTGCACTCTGCAAAGGCTAATGGTAACCTAAGAGTGAACAGAACTGCTTGTTTCTTGACTTTAGTAATATACTACTACATAGCAATATGTAGTGCAGACATAGGTGTAAGAAAAGAATTTGTCCACAAAATTTTGCCAGTGGTTCTACATTTTGTTTTACTTTGATATGATTTTAACTTATTTGAGCCTATTAAAGATACCAAGTGAAACTTGGCAAATAAATATCACTATATTGGTCTTGTAGTGGGAATGGCGGTTACCACTTGTTGAGGGTTCATGGCGTGGCTGTTATGTTGTTGATAGAAGTCAGACGTAGAAGAAACGCAAGTAAGGTTCAGATACTCCTGCCCGCCGAGCCCAACTACATAAAAAGGTTGGACTTTGATTAAGTCCAAAGAAGAAGGCAAAGAAAGCAAACAAAACACAAGACCGATAATATATGTATATATAAATATATATTAATGACAAGTTACAATACATGGAAACAGTACAAAGGAGGAAGTGTGTGTGAATATTTTGTATGTGCGTGCGTGTGTGAATATTCTGTATGTGCGTGCGTGTGTGAATACTGTGCTTAGCGTGTTTCCACGCTATCCCTTGTTAGCGCCTACATTTCGAGGTTGATAGCTGAAATCCTGAAGGAAAAAAGAGATAGAGGTGAAGAGTCAGAGGCTATTTATAGCCAGGGAAGAGAGACCCCTGGTGAAAGGGTTAACGGAGTGAAGGAGGAGTTAACTCCGACAGTCTCATAACCGTTATAAACATGTGTATAGTAGCACGGAAGAACAAATGAAACAACAGTTTCACTAGTGCTGTGAAAGGATAAAAAAATAAGAATTGTAAATATAAAATTCTTCTGTATTGCCAATACAGCACATACAAGCAGAATGTCTCTAAATGTAGGCAAGTGAGGCACTTAGAAGGAACGATAGAGTTGGTAAAGCTTGGAGTTGATTCTTTTGTCCAAATTCATTGTGGTGATATCAAGAGCCCACCAGGCATTGACAGTTAGCTTGTTCTCTTTGTTTCTGTTCCAGTCATTTATGAGCAGCTTTCTTAAGAGCAAACCTGGTGGCTCCTGAACTCATCTTTTTTCTTTGCTGGCAACATTCATGATTGGCTTCTTTTGTGTTGTGCTTTATATTTTTTAGGCGATTTGTTTTGTGGGCCAGGTGTTATGCTGGGAGCCACTGTGCAGAGGACCACTTTTTTATTTTTTGTTTTTTTTTCTTAGTGTCTACATTTGGCCAACATGTAGAGTTAATCAGAAAGAGATTTAATTTGAAGTGGAGCATAACATAACTGTACAAGTGTCATTGCTTTACAAGTAAGAGAAAATATATATTATGGTAAACTTGTACCTTTGTGCCTGCAAAATATCAGAATGTCTTAAAGAACATTTTTTCATTGACACCACTATTATTTTAACTCCCTTTACTCCTCAGCAATGTTTATTGTTTTAAAAAGTGATGATTAGAATTGTAATAAAACATAAACATATGGAAGTGAATTTATACATTTTCTTTTTTCCCGAGAATTCACAGCAAAAAGGATAAACACTATTTATTAGATTGTTTATTTACATTATTATATTGTTTAATGGAAAGGTTGGCAAAACATGGCCTAATTGCCAATTGATTCAAACTTTATAAAATGATAAATAATAAGGGTTTCCTTATAATTTAGTAAATTTTTATAAATTTAAGAATAAAAAAACGTTTTTATATATTTTTAGAAATTGGTAAATGATAGATATTGCATTGCATTAGTTTTACTTGTATTAGATTTTAGAATGTTGTAAGTATAAAATTATTTTCGCAAATAAACTATCTAATAAATAATTAATGTTTATTATTTTTGTTGTAAATTCTCAAGAACAAAAAATCAGTTAGTGAACTGGTTAACACCTTGGAGAGAGAAATTGGTGAGCAGAGTTCAAATCCTAATTGAGTTCATGATATTCACTTTCACATAAATACCCTAGGAAAGATATGAATCCATCTCTTCTCTCTCACCAGCTATGGGTTAAATAGCAGGGCAAACTGGGCTTTCTTGCATTGAAGTGCCAACCAGTCTAGGAGAAGGAAAACTATGAATTCAAAACCAACCTGAAGAGGATGGGTTCTGTCAGGCTATCTTACCCTAGACACACCACTGCTACTATAACTGCAGTACAAGACTCATGACATGACATGGCATGTCTCTTAAAAAAGATATGAATCTTTTTTCCACTAGCTATAGATTAAATAGTAGGGTAGACTTGGCTCTGTAGCCTCAGTTAGCACCCAGTCTAGTAGAAGGAAAACTCTGAATTCAAAAAACGTTGGGCATGGGACTGTCCACTGTAAAAAAGCTACTTGCTATAAGAAATTGCAACAGCAACACCTAGTGTGGTAAGAATGGGGGCCCTATTCTCTGCAGGGGAGTGGCACTAAGGAGGAAGAGAAGGATACCCCTTGTACCATGCATAAAAAATAACTGGAATAATGAAAGGTGCTTAAAATTCAATAATTTTATTATTGTGTATTTGCATTGTGAGTAAACTAGAATTTTACGAAATTGTATCTATCATGCTACAGAATTTTTGGTGATATTGTAGTCTACAGTCTCCCTCAGTATTTTAGGGTTACCATATTGTTGAATGTGGTCTACCTAAGAATTTCAGTCCTGAGTCTTCGTGAGTAAAACATTCAAGATTAGTTTAAGTGAAAAAAGAAATATAAGACCCCATAAATAACAAGATGCTTACCAAAGACTTTTACTGAGCTGTCATTTCTAGTGAAGAATGTTATTTTAAAATAGTACAAGAAACGAAACTATGCCATAGATGCAGTTCTGCTGAACATGACTATTTTTGCTAGAAAATAAAACCAATTTGTTTATAGCTTTTTTACAAGATGCACAAACTGTTTACAAGCCTTAATATATTAAATGCTTTTTACTGATGATGTGTGAAGTGTGACAATCAAGGTGACTATTGTGACTTACCTTCTCATTAATAGACAGACTATATATGTATCAGGCAATT